CTATTGATGTCCACAAGCTCATCTGGGAGAAACCTTGAGAGGTGCTTCTGGTACAAGCTGCTCTCTGAGCCACCCATCTTTTCAACCAGATGCTGGAATCCTAGGAGAAAAAGAGGAAAACAGAAAGACCCGAGCATGAAAAGAGAGGCAAGAAGGAATGAACGACTAGTCCTAAAAAGCATTTAGGGGTAAAGCCACATCAGCTGTCACAACGCCCGCTTTGAGAGGCCTTTAAAATAATGCAGAGTTTTTAGGAAACCCTTCAACACTAACTCCCCTGTCAATACAAGCCTTCTTAGTGGCCTATAATGTGAAATAAAGCAATGAGGTTGAAAGATTTCGCCAATACAAAATGAGAGCTGTCTAAAACAGCCAAACAGCTTTCAGGGGGGAGCCAAATCGTCTGCAGAAGAGCTAAATTCAAGTTCAGTGGACCAACGAGATACGAGAGGCATAAGCGTCTGAGAGTTATATGCCCATTCCAACTCGTATCGGATGAAGCTTCGATGTTTGAATGCTTATACCCCCAAAATCTTGCTGGTCTTGAATCCAGCAACTTGACTCGAATCTAGCAACTAAACAAAGAGTCAGCTTGTGGAATCTTCGAGGCAAAGGAGACTAGGCTTTGGGAGACTGCAGCCCAAAGCCAGCTCCCTCAGTAATAAAGTGGTGCCTATTGATCTCCTTGCAATTTCTTGCTTTCGAACTGCTAGGCTGGCAGGAGCTGGAACTAGAGACGGGAGCTCACTCCGTCATGCGGCACACTCGGGTCTCGAACTGCTGAACGACCGACCTTCCACAGCCTGCAGTTCAGCGTCTTAACCACTTGAGCCACCGCAGCTCCCCATTCACACAGGTCACCCAATCCCACTCACCTCTCGACGTCCCACCATCCAGGCTGTTCCGGGAATGCTCAGTACTGCATCGGACTCGGTTACACCCTCACTGATCCTGCAGATCCCCCACCCGTTCATTAACACGCATGCAAGCCAACTTCCGGGGGGGGGGGAGCTGGAGCGCCTTCAGAACGCCCCGC